GTGAGATCGACTGTGGGGGAGCAGAGAGTACAGCGCAGTGAGGAGAGAGGAAGTGCAAAAGAGCAGCTTGTGCGAGAGGGCACAGACATCAAGTATGCTGCGAATGCTAAGAAAGGCAGCGGTCGCAGCGCTCAAGGGAAGACATTAGCGCCTTTAAGGCGTACTTTCAATTCGCGACAGTGAAATGACGTATATGCTCAGAGGCCCTGCTTCCTCACTCAAGGAGAACATTTTTCTAAACATCTAATCGTGAGGGGACGTGGTGAAATGGCAAGTGTCGGGCTTACCACGCACGCGGTCCGGGGATTGAATCCTGGGCCGTACGTCGTACGCCCTTCATCCCTCCGCGGTCGGTTAATTGGTACCAGACTTGTCTGGGAGGATAAAAACACTGACTTGTACATCGGCTGGCCCCCGCAAGTCATTGTATAGGCCACATCGCATTCAAACGCCACTACGAATGTACAAATGGAAGTAGAATGCGTGCCGCATCCCAAAAAGGGATTGATCAACGGCAAATGCTTTTTTTAACCGCGACCCATGCCCTCAAGCGCAGCCGACTCCTCTACAGATTGTGGAATTTACAAGCGTCGTATTCGAATTAGGTGACTTGTCGCTGACAGTGATAAGGCCACGTCGGTTCGAACTGGCCTGGGTTTTTGAAAGGTCATCTGAGAATACACCACGCTGCCTTCTTCCTTTCAGCTCCAATAAGGATGTGTGCCTATGGAGACACGTACCCGACGGCGCAGCAAAATGAGTGGAGTGTAGTAAGCTGACAGTTGGAAACAGCCTCACTTATTCGGTTTTTTCGGATCCATTGTCTTACAAATATTTGTTTCATGTGACGTTCCGAAGGAATAGAAAATGAGCCTTCATCAACCGGTACATCCCACCTTGGCTCCACTAAATAACATCGAGGGGATCAAAGGATTAGTTACCCTGGGTGAGATGGCGAATTGACAACAACAGCTCCCCTCCCTGAGCACCTATCGATGGCTGATAATATCGACTCGTAGGTGGAGGACACAGCGATCTCAGTGTGTGAATACTTTCTGATCCTGCTATCTATAGGCAGGTCATTCGGTCTCTGGTCTAATTAGCCTGGTCACCTCAGGTATCACCTCATAATTGCCGGAGAGACCAGTGCCAAAGACTACACCGTAGCAATGACCGATAGTGAGTAGTCGCACAGGCCCACCTCACCAAGCGACTGATAAATAACCAGTTCATCTCATCATTCTTTCGCTCAACCTTCCACTGCGTTCGAACTGCACTGGCTTTCGTTACGTTTTCTTCACTGTTTTCATTTGGCTAATTTGAAGAATCGGTTACCTCTAAATTGTTCAATAGTTTTCATATTTTAGTCATAAGGCATTTTCTATTTGATGTTAATCATTATCATCCAGGGTATTTTTTATCACGCGCTTTTTCGCCAAAATCGAGTGAATGTTTTTGGAGCCGCTACTGACACGTGACGCGATTCCCTAATCGTTTATAGTGTCTGTGCCAAAGATTGAGCAAACCCGTTTCTATCTTTCTGTAGTACACTGACACGCTAGTCTGCCCTCGTGACCTGCCAGACCTTATCCTAAATGGATGCTCAGGCAGTGGAATGCACTGACAGCCACGATAATGAACAGAAGCTGGAGCTCACCTGAATGAACTTTGGAATCTTGGTAACAAATCACTCTTATGTTTTTGATAGGGAAGTAAAGGTCGTGGCCGTCTCTGTGCTTCATCATTCTCAAAATCCCATTTCGATAGCTGCAGATAACACCTTTCCTTATCACTATGACATCACTTCCTATAGTTTATAGTTCGTGGTTTCTAGCCAATAAAGTGCACACGCCTACTTAAACGATTCACTACCTTGATCCTCGACAGGTTCGCTCTTTCTAACGCCCTAAAATCCTTATTCTACTCCGCACGAAAATAAGTCTTCTTCTGTACTTCAGCATACATATATTTATCAATACACAGATTTATTAAACATTTGATGATGACAGGAAAATTGATTGATTCAATTCTTCTTCTTATAATGTTGCCTTTTGGAGTAAAAGAAGCTGTTAGCAGATTGGAGCAAAAAACGGGCCAAGTGAAAAGCAGAAATAAAAGCTTATTTATCAGCAAGATTCGAGGGCAACTTGTTATCTTCCTAGCAGATTTACCTTGATATTGGTTGTTCGAAGTCTGCAGGGAGTTCCTCCTCATTAACTTTTGATATTATATCTATTTAGCAACTAGAATAAGATTAAAAAAAACTATTGGATACCAGACCAATCACGACACCGTCGCTCTATCTATCCATTCACAAAAAACCCAGTATTTTGTAGATAGGCTGAGAGGCTTTTTTCGACTTGACGGTAGAATTTTATTAAGTGGACCTCACCTCCTTCCCTACCGCTAAGAATATCGATTAGCAGTCAGGAGAGATGCAATTATTTACAACTCAGATAAGTGATGATAGATGATAAATTAGTTCTGATAAAAAAAACCACCAATGCTGTTTGAAGTGAGAAATATAGGTTCGCAGTACACTGCAGAAAGTGTACAAACCATTATATATGCATACTCTCTCTTGGTCTCACTTCGCATTTGTCACGTGCAGATTAGAATAGATCTAATTTTGTGAAAATACTGTTTTCTTGTGTATCCCCGCAAACAGTTTGAGCTATCAGTCACTTCTATTTCCACTTCCTCATATTTCATATTTTCTCCATTGCCCATGAATTTTCATACCAAATTTCCAGTGATGGGCGTCATAAAGGCTGTTGTGTTCGACATGGGTGGGGTACTCATTCCCCGCTCCTTTCGACTACATGAAAAGCAAGTTTCTTTATTTTAATGGCTAGTGTACATATTGGTAATTTGCGTTGGTCAGTTCCGCTCTGGAGATGCGCCACGTACTCCGCCTCCTGTTCAGAATCGAAATTGTGTTTGGCCTCTACGGCGCCATGCGTGTGCGCTGATATACAAGCAAATGTTTCTATCCTTCGACTGTACCGTTAGTCGGCCGTGAAGGAGTTGATTAAGAAGAATTGGCTGGTCTGGGTGAATCTGCTCTACAACTTGTCCCTAGGTCGGGTCGGCTGCGTTGGCTTCGATACAGCGTCAGCATACCCCATGAGTAGAGAAATATGTACGTTCCTAATGTTGTTGGATGAATGGATTCGGGCAGGCAAAGCGATCGAGAAAGATACGATAATCAAAGCAAAACAGGCAGCGAGAGAGAGGCTTCAGATGAGGACTGGAAAGTTTCCCAATTCTGGCAACGTAAGGGAACCATGATCCAACAAACAAGCCCTTTCTAACTTCTAGTCCAGGTTTCTGTCTTGCAGTACCAGCCGTGTCCCCAGCCATAGAGGCTTACTCGTCTTCCTACTCTCATATAGTTATTTACACATAATTTTTCTAGATTTTGGCTTTGAGCTATACCAGCTTTCTAATCAAGCGCGCAATCTAGGTACGACAAGTACCAACGGAAGGAGGGGAGGGGTTACCCTGCTTCCAATCCTGATCGGCATCTAAACTCGAAGTTGTAAACCGATGGTTTATTGCCTGTCAGCGATCTTGAATCTATTGTAGTTTAAAGTTGTAGTTCTTGTCAAAGCCCACCTCGCAGCAGGCAGACCCCAACAGGGATCTTAATGATTTCGTGTAGGAGCCGTAATTTGGGGTTTTCAGAGAGGATGGTATGTGAGCCAGAGGTCGGGCTTCTAGGGAAGGGATTCTTTATGAGACTCGGTTGTGGAGAATATTTTGCAACGCTGAATGGGCGAGATTCGGAGATTTCCGTTTCATAATCATATGATCCGTTTTACCCCTGCCCTCGCTCAGCCGCAGTTGTAGAAAAGCCTTGGAGGCGGGGCTGAGAGCGTGCTCAAACTGTTTCCATGAGTGAAAATTAAGCGCGCTGTTGAAGGCAAGAAGAAAGCGGCGCCAACCTACATATAAAGGTTGACTAGTCGCACAGATTGTTCCACTCAAGTATGTAGTTCAACTAAGTGGGATGTGGCCGAAAACAAGGCTGAGCGGTGCTTCTTCTCAAGTTTTTTTTTCTCGAGAAACTGTAAGTCATTTCTGCTGCAGCTTCATGGCCAGCTTTAACATTCCCCTAGATGGAATACTGATAAGTCTATGCTTCAAAGCAATGCAAGATAATCTTTTTTGGGGTTCGGAGTCGATGTGTCTCTCCAAGGATAGTATGAGGGTAGTATTCCTAGAGAGTAGCGAAGTACGGAGAGATACAGCGTTGCGGGAAGAGGGAAAATGTGAGAGAGCACGTCGTAAGCGAGAGCGCACAGACGCTACGTGTGCTGCGATTGGTGAGACGGTAGCGGTCGCAACTTTCAAGCAAAAACAATTACCAAGCACCAGCAACATTATCAGCAACAAGCAAGTTTCTTATCGCGCACTTCCAAGTCGCAACTACACCCTGTGATTAGGGGTCCTGCTCCTCAATCAAATAGTGAACTCTTCGAGACCCTAGTCGATACTCATGCCTTTAGAGAATTCTGAAAAATTAAAAACTGAGGATCAATTCCAACGAGAATGTGAATGGTTTCTGTTCCAGAGATCGAACAGGAGAATCGCATGGAATCAGGGTCACTTGTAACTTCCATATATAATCCCCCGATCCTCGAGCACTACGAAGCACTGGAACGAGGCGAAATCACCGCCGAAGACTTCGATCCAATATTCACTCATTTCTTCAACAAAACGGTATGTTTTACTTTTCCATTTGTACTGAAAATCGAACCGTGCTTGTGAAGTCCATCGAAGCGGCGGAAAATATGTAGCTGATGAGCAACGGCCTGCGGGCCACGTTTCCCTTCAGAATACCTTGGCGAGGTTCCATTCTCCTAGCAATTTTCAATTTTATCCACTACCCTGCGCTGAGACAAAATCTTCTTTGATGGCCCATGTTCGACTTTCTTCCAGAATTGTCTCAATGAATATTCATTATTCGTTTATACGTTCAGTGGAGGGTCCTAAACAATACCACAGCTCTAGTTCATGGACACTTAACAACCACAGCCTTTGTCGAAGCCGTAATGCAACCGGACAGGTGTTTCAACTCATACCCGATTTTTTCAAAACGATTTTTCGCGATCTATGTAGGGAAAGATGCATGAAATAATTTACTGTGCTTCATTTTTCCTGAGCGGCGCACACCTAAACAGGGACGAAGATCGGTCCATAGTTCGATTCCTCGTGACGACACTGGTTTTTACGAAAAACCAGTGTCGAAAAATTGTACAGCTTCACCTTTTTCAACCCTTTTTAGGTATTCAGAAGGCCACTCGAGAAATAAATCATAGGTTTGTGTTTCGTTTACGTGATCCTATATTATGCAAAAAAAAACCGTTTTCAAAAAGCTTAGCAAGACCAAAAGACCCCGGTTAGTCGCCGATGCGCAAGTGTGTTCATTCCTTACTTAATGTGGAGTCATTTATTAAATGCATTTTCTCAAGTGTGAATATTGTATGATTCATTCAGCATAATCGTACTGAAAAAGTAATACCTCTAATTACTTCGGTAATCGATCGCCTTTACCACACCGAAATGATCACAGAAATGGAGAACATAATCAAGGTTTGTTACAGTTGATGGAAAAATTACATCTACATCATACAATGCTAATTGAAGGAGCTACGAGGACTTGGGTATTCGCACAGCATTACTGACGAATAACTTCTTTGCCGATCGGGCACGTCGTACGCCCACAATTCCCATGGGCTTCGAAAAGTACTTTGACGTAGTGGTGGAGTCATGCCGGGCAGGAATGCGTAAGCCTGAGCCAGTCATTTACCGGCGCATTTGTGAAGCGTTGAAGGTGGGAAACAGATTCTTTGGAAGTACTGATTTCTACGAATTATTTTCTTCCAATGCCTTATTTTTCAGGTGACACCAGAGGAATGCGTGTTCCTGGACGATCTGGGACCCAATCTCAAGCCAGCCAAAGAGATGGGCTTCACAACCATTAAGGTAGTGGTTAGATCTCAGTAGCGCCGTACTGCATTTTGCATAGAAGGACTGATACGAAATTTAGGTCACATCTCCTCATCAAGCTGTCGCTGATCTGAGAACGATACTCAAAGACATACTCGAATTCCCACCCGGCACAAGGGAGTGTTTACCAAGTTCGTAATTTTGTACATTTCACTGCGTAACCGCATTCGTTATAAGGTGTCGTACTGTTTATCTTACAAAATGTCTAATTATATTATAAAGTTTTTGAATAATATTGGTGTTAGCTGGGTGATATCAATGGAATGAAAGCTGTGCGAGCAGACCTCCACCGCTGCCTTGCAAAGGGTTAGTCTTCATTGGAAGGGTGGTGTGTCCGTACTTCAGCAATATAGGAACTTATGATGGATAAAAAGAACTAAACGTAACCCTACAGTGGTTCAAGTAGAGCCTGCAGGCATGGCAACACTGCTTTTGTGAATCCCACCTTACCATTGAGTCAGGCGTCGGGATCGAACTGCTGGGATTTTTGCACACCAAAATGAAAGAATTGGTGAGTGAGTCGGTACCGAAGAAAATGGAAAAACTCTGTCGAAAACGTTGAAGCTGAAGCAACAACCCAGATTGATTTGATAGGGTAGCAGCGCTCGGCAAAGAGCTTGTGGATGCCCGAGTTGGCTGAAAATAAAAATTGAAGCAAAGCAAGCCATCGATGAAGCCCTTAAAAGGCACAACCCAAACAGAAGTCGCATTAGTGATTCTCTTTGGTCTGTAGGGTAGTAAAGGACAATCACAGATGGCATTCCTGTGCGCGAAAAACACACGACAACAGCGCTAGGGCCTTGCAAAGTAATCTTCTGCAGCCGCAAATTTG